ACTTAGTAAATAGACGCCATAGTCTCAGGTATTCTCTCTGATGTTTTCATATGTTTCTTTATGAAACTACTCGGATAGCCCATCCCCATCAAGGAATCGTGAATATATTCAAATTCCTTTTGTAAGAGGTCATGAGTACATATATTTCTTGCTCTACGCGCGAGACATTTTACAACATTCCTTTTATATTTAATGGGCACGTAACTAAGGTAGTGTGTGTGTATTACCCTGTGAATGTGCTTTTTCTATAAACGCTACTTCCAAGTGACCCATCTTCTCGCTTACTTACCAAGACATCCAGGAAATATAGTTTACTATCCTGCTTCTCTTCACAAGTAAAGGTAAGCAAAGGGTGGACGGTGTTCAGTTTCAGCAACAATTTATCTATACTTACATTCCCATCAGCTAAGATAAATGTATCATCGACAATATCAGTAATACATATCAAACTCCTTGATGTTGTCTTCCAATTTCCTGTTATCTAATCTTAGAGAATAAATTCTCTTTACCTTTCTACTACATTGTTTTCAAAAATGATATATATATGCATACAAATTAGAATTTATTAAATGTAAAATGTATAAAAATGCTTCAGGATTTCATCATTGTTAGGACACAGCATAAAATAGTAGATCATCCTTTCTCGTGAATCATGTGATTTATCTTGTGATGGAATTACTATGTTGGTGTATTATTTCTCACGCATAGTGTGCGTGATCAATTCATCGTCTTTTGTCACACCTTGGACTGTCTTTGTCGGATCGCCAACCAATCAGAATCGACATTTCTAACCAAAAAGAACAACTCATTCTCATGGTTGTGAGCTGACTTTATTATAGTTAAGAAAATGTGTAAATATAATGTGTTGTTACTCAAACTACACAGTATAATACAATATCTTACAGTCACAGGCCAACTTTTTTTTATCATATGATATTTGCATGGCTCAGTAAATCGGATGGTGTAACGCATAAATAGACGTATTAGCGTATCAGTCGAGTCCATTACCGTTATAGCAATTAACAGGCGCAGACACAACAACGGATCTATTCAATCCAGTTCAGTTCAGTTATAACAGTCATAAGCTGATATTGGTTACAGAACCACTGGAAAACCTATACTGAAGTATTGGAAAGCTATTTCGTCCCAGCTTGTAGCTCTTCAACAGCACGCATCCACTCATTGGATCGGGTCCCAGTGGCTAAATAGTCTACTAGCTAGCTTGACTTGTAATCAGACTGTACTGGATTCGAACCCCGATTGGTGTGTAATGCTGAAGTTTCTCAAACTTAGACAACAGAAACAGATGTCCAGTACTCTAGTACAGTTTTTCCATTGGTTCTGTAACCGATATCGGCTTATGATAAAATTTAGATAAAGCAATAAGAAGACGTAATTTGTCTGAATCGTGTAATGTATTTGCGCAACACATTTCGAACAATCTGATCACACACGGACTTGTCATAGGAATATATATATAAAAAATTAATAAAGAGGTAAGAGGTGAGAAAAATAGACTTAGGTCAAGTTAAAAGGACATATTCAAGGTCAAAAAATAAAAATGAAGACCACTAAACCAAATAGCAGAGGTAATAGTACATCTGCTATGGTATCAAAACAAAATTTACCAAGGAAGGTTTAATGTGATGACAAATTGTTTTTGAACGCATAAAGGTGGCTTGAACTTTCTAATTGCTAGGGCTTCTACAAACTTTAGGATACGCCCCAAACACGTTTTATAGATAGGTTTAAAAGATCCGTTAACATCAATTTTATGACCTGTCTCTATAATATGTTTCGCAATAGAAGAGCTAGGTCTCCTGTTCTCACCGTTAATAGGTTCTGATGATTCCATTTGTTTCTGGAGCCATTTTGGAATATGCTCTGAAGCCCTTACTTGCAGAGATCGATGAGTCCTCCCTATGTATGTGTGTCCACACGTACATTCAAATTGGTAAATACAGTGGGATGTGACGTCATTTTTTCGCATGTTCGAAGGACTTAGATAGATATAATGGCTTTACATTCCTTGGTAAATTTTGTTTTGATACCATAGCAGATGTACTATTACCTCTGCTATTTGGTTTAGTGGTCTTCATTTTTATTTTTTGACCTTGAATATGTCCTTTTAACTTGACCTAAGTCTATTTTTCTCACCTCTTACCTCTTTATTAATTTTTTATATATATATTCCTATGACAAGTCCGTGTGTGATCAGATTGTTCGAAATGTGTTGCGCAAATACATTACACGATTCAGACAAATTACGTCTTCTTATTGCTTTATCTAAATTCATAAAGGGAACTAATTGTTATGATAAAATGCTGTAATCAATCAATTCCCTGAAAATTACCACTTTTTAAAATGTGCATTCATTCACACATAAACTAAACAAAAAGAAGAACAGAGAACCTCACACATGGCAGTCTGTTTAAATCACTGGACTAGCAGAATTTCCAATTAAATAAAGGCGTCGTTTGATCTCACAGCATTGTAATATTTCAATTAGTCCAAAATTAGCAAAAGAAACTATGCAAAAATTACCCTAAAGCGATGAAAGCTTAAAAAAGGCAATGTACAACTTGGATAGAACTCATAGAATTATGTCTGAGACCATACTTCCAATTCAGTACTCAAATATCCAATGAGATAAAATGAACACCAATATGGTAACCCATATCAGGATTAATAGCTGACTCGGTTAGGCGAAGATTACAATTTATAACCTTACCTATAATTAAACCTAAGACCTGGTTTTTGTCACGTTGATTATACATTTGTAATAATTAAAGGAAATGATTTAGAATATACCGAGGATTGGAAGAAAGGATACTTATTCAAACTACCAAAGAAAGGAGACTTAAGTCAATGCAAAAACTGGCGCGGAATTATGCTCCTCTCCATCACAAGCAAAATACTAAGCCGCATCATCCTGCAGAGAATCAAACAAGCCCTGGAGGAAAAACTTCGACCGAAACAGGCTGGATTCAGAAGAGACAAGTCATGTATTGATCAAATCGCCACCTCTCTAACTCAACTTCATCGACTTTGAAAGGGCCTTCAACAGCGTCGATCGAGAGGTCATTTGGCAACTACTTCGCTACTACAGGGTGCCATCGACAATTATACATCTCATCAAATAGTCATACGACAATGCTGCATTCCAAGTAATCCACAACGGGAAACTTACGGAATCCTTCGAAGTGAGGACGGGAGTAAAGCAAGGCTGCCTACTATCACCAATGATTTTCCTGATTGCAGTAGATTGGATAATGCGACAGACAGCGGGCAATGGGGAAATAGGCATAAAATGAAACAACACAAAACAACTTGGAGGATCTGGACTTCACCTATGATGATATATGTCTGATTTCCCACAAACTGGAAGATATACAAGCGAAAAGCAATACGTTGGAAGAAGAAGCATCGAAGATTCCTATCTTTGAACATAGATAAAACAGAGGTGATGAAGATTCCTGGACAACATCAACAGCAACAACAACAGAAAACAATCAGCATAAATGGGAGGAACTTGAAAGGAACAACCTTCTTTACCTACCCGAGAAGCATCGTTTCAGCTACAGGCGGAACTGACGAGGATATAAAAGCAAGAATCGGAAAAGCAAGACAAGATTTCATTACTTCCAAGTCTGTGGGAAGGTCAGCAGCACTTGGCATGAAAAATAACACCCGGATTTTCAACTCCAATGTGAAGTCAGTGCTACTCACTACACGGATCAGAGACTTGGCGCGTCATAAAGAACATCTCAAACAAAATACACACCTTCATTAACAGTCGTCTTCGCTCAATACTACGCAAGATCAGATGGTCGGCCAGAAAAGATCAGCAACAGGATGGGATCTCTGGCATTGAGCGAACCAACACAGCAGGAGCCGATTGTGGAACGAATAGGCAAGAAGAAATGGAGATGGACTGGCCATACTCTGAGGAAACCATCAAGTCACATCACTAGAGAAGCCCTCGAGTGGAACCCGAAAGGGAACCACCTAGCTGGTCGTCCAAGGGTGATATGGAAGAGGTCATGTGAAGAGGAGATGAAAGCGTGTGGGCAGACTTGGAGCGGGGTGAAAACGTTTGCAGAAAACCGAAGGCAATGGAGACGCGCAGGTGAAGCCCTATGTTCCTCTAGGAATTAAAGGAAATAATAATAATAATAGTTTCGAATATACACAAATTAATAAACAACATATTTAAAGACATCAAATTCCCCAAGAGAGAAGAAGAATTAGATAACAAAATTCCATTCTCACTTGTCTGAATCAAGAGAACTAACACAGAAAATTTAGAAACACAAATATGCAGAAAATCAACACCCACCGACCAAATACTCAACTACAGTAGTAATAACCCAATTTCTCACAAAGCAAGCTGTGTGCAGACATTGTTTAAAAGAGTTCAGACACACTGTAGCACTTCAGTGTTGAAGAGAATGAAGAAAAGAATACCTACTATCTGTCTTTAAAAAGAATGGATATCCTCATAATTTCATCGAAAGGTGTTTAAACTCGAGTCATAACACCAACACCAAGTCATCATCAAAGACAACAAGAAAATTCATTCTACTGTATGTAAACGAAAATATCTATGAAATAACAGCTAAAATATTGAGACCGTTTGAAATAGATATAGCACACAAGCCAGCCAGACGGCCAACACAATCCCTTCATTCGATATTGTGTAAACTGAAAGATCCAACATAAAAAGAAGATAAAATTAATACCATTTTCAAAATAAATTGTATAAACTGTAACAGACATCACATCAGTCAAAGTGGGCGCTCCCTTCAAATCCGAATCCGAAAACACAAATTACCTGTAAAAAGACATGATTTGCATTTTTGCATATCAATTTATGTGTATAATTATGGACACCAATTTGATGATTGGGATAATATAGAAATTTTAAATAGAGGAAACACCGAAAGTGCAGTCAGGGAGTTTTTAGAAGCTTGCTACTCAAGTGAATATATTTATATATTTATTTAAAACGTAAGAAATCAATATTCATTGACACATTGATATATATATATTGAAGCCATTTAACAAGTCTACCTGACAGAAAAAGAATACACTAAAATAACATACTATTCAATGGATTTAGAACGTAATGTAAAAATTATTGAAGAATTAAAAATGGAAATGAATTCGCTAAAAGAACAAATAAAATTTCAACGTCCACAAACTTCCGACTTAATTAAAAGTTTATTTCATTATTTTATCGAGAAAGCTGATGAAGACATATGGCTTGATAAAAGTGCAGCAGTTAAAGCAGATAATCCATTCAAGGAGAGATCATGTTGTCCACTTTTATAAATAACTACAGCAAAAATACAACAAATAAATAAATTCCCAGTTTGAATGATAATTCAATGTGTTCAATATATATTAAATATACATATATATTGAAAATAATTGCGTACATCATTGTTGTTGTTGATTTTCATGAATAATTCCCATTCGAACATTAGTAGACAGAAGACAAGTAGTTCAGCGAAGAGTCTCTTTTCGGCGAATTCGTTTTCATAGCTGTACAATCGCAAATATATATGGTTATTTTGTGTGTGTGTGTGTGTGTATACATTAAATTTGTCAAACGAAAATACAATTAGTAAGTTCAGATGAATTGGATGTTGATAAGAGGATAGCAACAAAAGTGATGAGTTGTCAAAAACGATTGTTAAAGAGGAGTAAGTTCAGGTGAATTGGATGTTCATATAAGAGGATAGTAACAAAAGTGATGAGTTGTCATAAATGATTGTTAAATAAGAGTTACGTAATGGCATGAATAGTTTGATGAATGAGTTGTGCTCAAAGGGTGTACATGGAAACAAAATAATATACAGAATTACACAAGGGTTTTAAGTTAGAAAAATAAACATACAAACAGAAGTAAGGTCAAATCAAACAAACAAAGAAAAGTTAGGTCAAATCAACGGAGTTGTTACCATGAGAGTAGAAGTGGTTGGATAATTTTCTTTTGTATGCATAGTTCTGGTTCCACCAACTGGATGGCTAGGGCTTCTGCGATGCAAAGAAGACGGAATCGTACTGTCTTTGGAAGGTTGTTCTTCACTTTGTAGATTACTTTGATGGAGGCGTTCGTTGAGATGGAATGACCAGTGTTGACGAGATGTTCGATTATTGCACTCCTTATATGGCCATTATTTCCTTTCTGTAGCCACGCTGGATAGTGTTCTTTGACCCTTTTTGACAGGATGCGCGTTAAACGACCGATGTACCTGGCTCCACAGCAACAGGTGAACTGATATATACGCATAGAAGTGGTCATGTGCGGAATCTTGTCCTTTGGGTTTCTGTAGATCAGCGGGCGACTGGAGAACACTATTCTTAGTGTTGCCGCAGGGAAAGTTCTTCCTAAAGAGGTGGAAATTCTCCTTCTGAGGACGTCACTAAGTAGGTCTCCTTTGAAGTCTAGGTTCATATAAAGTATCTTTTTTGGCACGGATGGTGTCTCTCGCTTTTGGTTTTTCTGTTTGATGTTTTTGTCTACGAATCTTGGTGGGTAGCCATTTTGTATGAAGATTTCCCTCAGGAAGTTTAGTTCTTCTTCCATGGTGTCGGAGCTGCAGATGCGTCTGACGCGAGTGGCAAGGGATTTAATTAGGTTTCTTTTCCGACTGATTGGTACCCAGCTGTAGATTGTTGATTTTACTGCTGTCTAAGTTGTAGAGTCAGCTGATGATAGTCTGATTTTATTGTGTTTCAACATAGAACTCTGCACCGATGTACAGCAGTTCATTTCGCCACACTCCACTCCTTCTAGCACACAAACCAACACAAGAAAGTAGAAGTAATGCAAAAAAGAGACAGTAAACAGAGATACGAGGCAAAAAGAATAGTAATAACGAAGAACAATATAGTTTCATTGGAAATCATAAGTCAAAAGGAGTGGATGCATCTGCTCCAGACATTGAGAACTGGGATTTTGAGCTAGTCATATCACCCACCAATTGTCTCCAGCCTTGATTGCTGATTACCGTCCTGAAGCCCCCAACTAATCAGGCGGCCAGGCTACACCTTCCTACGTCACTGGCTGGCTTAAACTAACTGTTGTGAAATGTGCATCTTGAATTCTACTGTGTATCTGCTATACCTCATTCCTTCTAGAGTTTGAAGAAATCACGCTATTGATGTAAGTGATAGGTTCATAATCGAAATAGTACCAGTTTGCTCCGTATTTATATTGTTGTGTAGTGAATTCTGTCACTTACTAGAATAACACAGAGTGAAAGTGTTATAACGGAAGGTTAATGATTTGTGGTTGTCGGTCAACTCAACTGAAATGCATGTTCAGGACACTATACTCTGGTCAACCAATCATTTGAAAATATTCCCCACAGTGAGACAGACACAGAAGTTATATTTAAGTGGGACGATAGTGAAAACAATTTATTATTTAAAATAGGTATCGGTGGGACAGCGGTTAGGACTCTCGCCGACCATTTACATATTCCAGGATTCGATCCCCTGCCGACACACACTTGATTTCAGTGGTCGGCCTGCAACATTTGGTCTGGCGATATCACATGCTGAAAGTTTCATACTTGTACCAAAATTGTGGTGTGGAATCAAGTTATAATCAAAACAAACTCAAAAAAATAAATAAATTTCATTGACTGGTGCTGTGTTTTGGTTTGAACGCCGCTAGCTAGCTCTTTTTAGCCTCACTCTATGTCACATAACATTACCCATTGCCGAGGAAGACGACGACTAGGCATTTGTAACACATGTCCTAAATATCTCAGTCGATGCAGCTTCACAGTCTCGTCTAATGATTTCCCCTACTTGCCTATCACTCAACCGAAGCCTAACCTGAGTATTGCTTACCCTACTATACCACTTAGTACGGGAGATAGAACACAGGCACTTATGATCAAAAACAGCTAGCCAGGCTTTTCATATCCTCTACTCTCAATGGCCAGGTCTCACACTCCATGTACTACACTAAGTAGACAAAACAGAGATTCGAAAGATGTATACGGTAAAAAAGAATAGTGACATGGAAAAACAGGAAGATTTACTGCATGGAGTAGATCAAAAAGATTGAATGCATCCGTGCGATTGAGAACGACTTTGATCAATAACACCACTTTCCTTTTGCCCTGTGTTTGGATTTTACATGGTCCATCTTCTGCTTTCCCTCTGCGATGTTGACTGCTTCTTTTCGCTCCGTCCACCATCTCGTCATACTCCACTGCTGGTAGCGGAGCCAGAACTTGTTATGCATTGGTAGTCGTAGTTTCCTCCTGTACATCAACTGAAACGGTGTTTTCTTCATCGTTTCTTGGGCGGACACATAATGCGCCAGCAGAATTAGTGGGAGCCTTGTCTCCCTGTTACCTCTCTTTGTGACCAGCCACTCCTTTGTGGAACTTTTATTTCTCTCCATCAAACTTCTCATTTGTGGCTGATGTGGCGTTGATTTAGTTTTCTTGATGCCTACCTCTTCCAGCCGGTTATTAAAATTGATCAACACATAAGGTGAGTTATAGGTAAAGGGTATTAAGGCTACGTGATGAGGTAAATAATCAGGATGCACTTAGAAACGAATGAAAGTGAAGTACCACGTAACACAGGAGTTATAAAGAGTTTTTTAGAAAAAATTATCATGTTAGCGGAAAACAACAAAATCGTCACCATGACAGTAGAAGTGGTTGGATAGTACGCTTTTGTATACAGAACTCTCTTTTTTCTACCTGACTACCTGTGTAACGACAGAAGACAAGGGCCAGGCATCAGATCGTTTATTAGGGAAATCAACACGTATTTATATATTTTCATGTACATTGTTATAGCTTATTGAAGCAAACAAACACAGTCTTCTGATTGGTTGTTTCTCACAGAAAGTTAACCTTGCATCTTTTTGTAACTGTTTCTTGAATGTCAGGTCATCTATATGTTGACTGTATCTGCCTACGCAAAGTCTGCTCTAATTGGTTGTTGAACCAGTCTTGTTCGTATTTTCTGAAGACCAATATTTGCGACATAAACATTGACGTGAATAATTGTCCACCAATTTGGCAGATGACAAGAGCTAGCCAACAAATTGTTTCTTGAGCTAATCAAGAGGTATTTATAGATTTTTATGTACATTATTGTTATCAGAGAAGTAACGTCTTCTGATTGGTTGCTTTCTTGCTCAAGGTTAGTCTGTACTGCTTGTGACCGTTTCTCAGAAAGTTAAGCCATATATCTGCTAATCGTATTTGCACACGTTACGTGTGCTGTGATTGGTTGGTGAGTGCCTCAAGGTTAAGCTTTGTTATTGTTTTTTGTCATGACATCGACTCGGGAAGTGAACATTGACGTCAATTGTTGTCTACAATTTTTCGATTACAAACAGCTCTCACCACAGTACATACCAACTCTCTGACCATCGTTTTGAAAAGAAAGTAGAATAGGTTGTTTTGACTACAAAGTTGATGTCCAAGGGGAAAAGTGGTCAAAACAAGGAAATTCATAAATTTTTTTTGTAGGAGGAGACGAATATTCTGGAATTAAAAGATGAATTCAAACATAAGATTGAGAGGGATAGTAACTTAATCGTGTGTGTGAACGGTCATTTAAACAAAATAATAAAAGTCAGGTTATGTCATAAAATGAACTGAAGTGTTGGAAATGTAAGGTAAAGGAGTTAGTGTTTACCATATCAGTAATAGGTTATTATTATTATTATTAAGCTCTTTTCAGGCTTCAGTCTTCAAAAGACCACAGTCATCGCCTTCCTCCTCGACCAGTGTTCACTGACATAGTATCATGTTAGAAAAGGGTTACAGGTAGCCGAATGAAAATATTTAATCAATCCATAACGTCCCTGACTGTTGGTCTGAGTCATAAAGAGAGATGTATACTGCTCGTTTGGCGTCCTTGAGACTCTAATAATCAATGATTGCAGACTGTTGGTGATATAACTCAAATTCTTCCTTACTGCCTCAGATGCATTCTTCTTTGATGTGGTTGTGTTCTCAGAACTGGATAGTTAATTTGCGAAGTTTTAATTGCTTCACCCTCTAGACAACATCTTCAGTGCATACTTTAATTTGAATTGAAGTGAGCTTTTAGATTTCTCCAAGAGTGTACTAGTCACTTCTCTTGGTGGGTGACGTTGAACGTGATTTCTTGTTTTTGTGTGTTTTCGCACCCCATCTAGGTTACTTGTATTAGAACTGATTGTTTCCCTGAATTGAACTTTGACCCTTTGTGTGTGAGATTTCCTTCTTATCGATTGGTTAATTTTGTCTATATCAGCGTGTCTATTGATTGATGATTCACCGGAATACCAGGTAGCCTTC